GAAAAAAACAACTCGCCCATAATCACAATGTCAGGTAAGTGGTGGAACTAGCTGCGAGTTAAACCCCAATATATTTGACAACTGAATTTAAGTGACATGTTTTCTATAGTCTATACCCTGGCCTATACATTGGGACATTAGTAGGACCTTTGCCTTTGAAATATCTTCCACTTCTCTTATGTTTTCCTTGAGAATTCTTGTGAATTTCCTTGAGCAATTCACTTTAGAATGACCGTTTGTTTTATTTCCTTTTATGTTACAGTATCGTATGCTGCTATAATTGTTTTTTGCATGTTTGCATATCTTCCCTGTATGTTCCAGGATAAAAATCAAGTTGGTGGTTTATCTATCAATCACATTCTTGTAAGATATACCCTATTCCACTTCTTATCAGAAGTTCAATTCTGACCATTACATATGCCACTCAAGAAAAAAGAAGACATGCCTAATATCTATAGAGTCAATATTTACTGTTCATATCTCTCTTTTTCCCCTGAAAAGTAGCATAATGAGCAGAGCAAAATCAGTCATATGGCACATCTCATTAGGTGCTCAGTTACATGGATGTTTTATACCTATATCTAATATCTTCTTGTAAAGTATTACATTTTCCTATTCAATTGCTTAAAAGTACTTATTTTATGCTCTACACTCTTGAATTTTGTAAAAAATTTCCTTCTTTCAATATTCATTCCCTCCTCCACTGTAATTCTGTTTCTAATTATGCTCTTTTACTAGGATGAGTTACTTTATTTCACTTAGCATTAGTGTGGATTAAAGACCATAAAATTTGACAGAAGCCACTGAGCCAGAACCATGGCCAGTGTTTCTGAGTGTATAAATACAAACTATTGATTCATACTCATGTTCATTCAGTCCAAGAAAAAGAGTTAAGATAAAATCATTTTGCATGCTTCAATCTTAAAAATTGGGCAATCCATGTTTTTTTGGTGATCTAGTAGACAGTCTAGCTTGATAAAGCTAATTCGATCTTCTCTAGCTCTTCTGGAGGCTGCAAGATAGATCTACTATGGTATGGTATTCTCTTTAAAGAAAAACTATGTTGTAATCCCTTTTTTGTTTTTAATGGAGAAGATGTCATGTAACTATGTTATCAATATTTGGGAACTGATTTTTTTAAAAAAAGTAAACCTTTATGAATGTATTTCTGAATATAAATCGATCACTATTGACAAATGAACAAATACATCTTTTTAAAAGAAACATAAACACACATTATAAAATGATTATAAAAATTTTCATATAGAAATTAAGCATTTCCCTTTTTTAAAAAATTCATTTGTTCATTTTTAAAAAATTCATTGTTTGGGTCATTTCTACCTCCAGCATTTCCCTTCTAAAATCATTAAAAATGCAGCATAAGAAATGATTTATTTTCTACTATTTCAAGAAAAATAAAAGGGCTTTGGAAAGCTGAAAATAAAAGTGAACACTAAACAGTCATTCAGGAACAGAAAGTGACAGAGTAGCTAACAGACACATGATTCTGAAAAGGTTTGTGATTTGTTATTTTGCATGGCAGATACTTCAGCAAATTGCTAAATATCAAGTTTTAGAGTAATCTTTTATACATATACACACTCACACTCCAAAAACCTTTGCAAAGTCAAACAATTTGCACCAAAGAAAGAAGCATAATGTAAAATGAAACACACTGCTAATACATAAGCCCAAAGGGGCTTTCCCTGTGAGTGAGTTAATTAATTCAAAAAGCCTTTCTAAAATGTGGAAATTAACCCAATGAAAGCTCCCTAAGAATACTAAGAAATTAGCTAGGAAACAGTTTTTAGAAAAAATGAAATTACTGAAGTTTTCACAGAGTCAAAAAGAAAAATATTCACAAGATAGGAACTTACCACAATAGACAATAGTAAAAGTAGGGAGTAGGGTCAGCAACCAGGGGCAAGAAAGAAGAGAAAACAGAAAGCATTTTAATTAGGGAAATTTCAAAAACAATTAAGCAGCAAATGGTAGCAAACACATTTTGTAAAATGCAAGCATCCATTTAAGTTTTACAAGGGATAGCAAAAAACGTGCAACAAATTTAGAAGCTACAAAGCTAAAGGTCCAGTAAAAGGTAGTGACAAGAATATAAACAAAGAAATAAAGTTGGTGTGACTTTTACCATGCAATAAACATGATGAAAGAATGATATTAATGTCATAACCAGTGAAAATTATACCTTTCAGGGGTCGATTTAGCATCAAGCCAACTAGAAACAAACTGCTCAGAGGTTTCAACATATTCCTAATTTTCATCATATGCCTAATTTTCAGCAAATTCTAGTTCATGTTAGAATATCCATAGCAACCACAGCAAGTCTCTTTACATATATCTTAATTGAGCCACAGTAATGAGGGATTGTATTTTAGGTATTAATAAGGTGATACACGTTTAATCTGGAGAATTAATGAGGATTGAAAAGTGTTGGCTTTATCTAAAGAAAAACAAAAGGTAGGTACCATCTCACAAATGGCAGAAAACTCAGTAGTTTATTTCTAAACTTTTCTATTTGGGTCCCAAAACAAAAACTGCAATGTAAACCAAACAGAGAAATCTAGGCTGTTTAGTCAACCTCAACCTGATTACAAAGTGAGAGGCAAAGTAGACAACTTTACAGATTTATTTAGAGCTATGTAAATAGCTCTAAATAAATCTGATTACTACCTACCTTTATCTCATCAAAATAAATTAGGGCATCATTTATAGAATTCTCTCCTTTACAGAAAGATGAAAAACAATGGTGAGCAATTTTTCCTGGTATTTTTCAAGTAATACTTGATTCATATTTAACTTTTCATAACTCTAACTATAACACAACACTAAGTGTATCAAACTCTGTTAGAATATGAGGTAAAATTCAATTTCAAGCTTTCTCAATCTCCTTCTCTTTCCCCCACAAAATTTAAATGACAAGTGAATTTTTTTTCTTCAGTAGGTTTTATACTCAAGGTAAAGTGACTCAAGATCAAATTAATACAGTATTCCATCACTTCTAGGCTGCCTTTTGTTTTGCCCACGTCTTTCAACCAGAATGCCCTGATTTAATGCACAAGGTTTTTTTCCCTTTCTTTCTTAAAGGCATATCAAAATAATATAACTTATAATTGACAGTATCTTACATCAGATGAAATATAGTATTTTCTATTCACACCTCTGAGCAATAACACATAAATCGACCTCTGTAAAATGAGGTGAAACAATATGGTTAAAAAAAGAAATCTGTGTGTAAATGTTGATGAAAGAAATGCTTCAAAGAACAAAAACAAACTAAAGTGATGACAAAGTGGCTCATTTACCAAAGAATCTCATTAGTGTAACATAAGGATTTCCATGCACTGCCTACAACCTCTTAATAATAAATTTCTTTAAGTAATTTACGATATGTTAACAAAATTTCTTTGGTTAATGAATTCAGTTGATAGCAGATAGCAACAGAATGCCCACAGCTAGCACATGTGGGCAAAGCATTGGCATAAGAAATCTGATCAAATCAATCTATTAGTGTCTTTAACTAACTAAAACGTTACCTACCTCCCAGCCAGTACTCTGTGTAATAAAAAGTAAAAAAGGGTGTCATAAAAAAAAAAAACTGTTTAAAAAGAACAAAAAAAGGCCAAAGGAAGTTCAATAGTAAAGGTACCATACTATAAATTCTTCTCCATGAATAGAAGAGAACAAGGTATCTAAAACAGAATATTCTGTCACTTAAGACCAACAACAGTTTTATAAATTGCTTGTTCAAAACTCAGTACCTAAAATTTTGCTTTTAAAAAGCTAAGTTTTTAAAGTGAAAAGTACTTTTTTAAGTACAAATTTTGAGGAAAGAGATCCAGCTGCCTGTTCCATTTGTGTGTCTAAATTAGATCTCTAATTAAGGCGAGTTGCACTATTCAGGTTAAATTGGAATACAAATTGCAAATTTTGCTCTAATGCCACTGACACAAATGGATGAAAGTTTCTTGGAAACTACTACCTCTAGGTGTTCAAACCTGACATGTATAATTTGTAATTTAGAGCTCTAGATGCTGAGATGAGGTTCCTTTTTACAGTATATGTAAAACTGATTGTAAAAAGACCCACCTGTTATCATGAAATGTAATTAATCTTTTGCAATTTCAGTATTTTAGTAGCTGACAATAGATTCCTGGTATTAACAGGAGCAGCCCTAGTTTCTTTTCAGATTGTATAGATTCATCTGTAACAGCTTTGCCCATGGCAAGAAAGAGGAGTTCAAGCTGATAGACAATAAAGTAGAACTAGTATTGAATACAAGAGTGGATAATCACTACTCTATCTTCTGCTTAGAAGTTAATAACAACATGGGTAGCACAGGAAAGGTAAGAGAAGGAGGCGGCTCAACAGGACATTTAAGAGTATTTCAATGGAGCCAAGAATTCTGTTTAAAGGAAATAATTGCTAGTAGTTGACTTCACTTTTAAACCAAGTTTAATTTGATTCTAATTTTAGTGATAACATGTGAATTACAACATGAAGTATAAAGTACTGAAACCATACTATTTTAATTAAATTACATAAGATACCTGTTTTATTATTTTCACTATCATTTTAATATTAGAAATATACTAATATCTGAATGCAAAGATCTGAAAAATAAAGCTCAGTTACAGTCATTAAAATACTAGTATGTTATTAGAGTCACATCATTTAATAAAAAATTAACAAATAGAAAAACTTGCTTGGCAGCAAAAGAACAGACATCAATTTAAAAATCAGATTCATAATTATAACCTACATTGTGAAACAGAAAATAAGTCAAAATTTAAAAAATTGCCAACCATTAATAATTTAAAAATATGAAAAAAGAGAAACTATATGGAAAGTTTATAATGATCATCATTTACTTTAGGTAAATTTGTCTTTTGTTAATGAGTCTTGCTTTAGCTGTTAACCATCATTTTGACTGTTCATTTGTAACATGATTGAAACGGTCATTTTATGGCCATTATTATCATGACCTTAGTACAAAGCACCACTAAGACTTTCAGACAGTTTTCTCTGCTCACACTAAAACTAGACATTGGAATCATTACCTGATGAACAATTTTGCTGAATGCTTCTTGAAGTTTACCATGAATGGTAGATAGTTTCTTTGCATCCCGATTAGCTTCATGAATAGGAATAAGTACTTTATAAACCTCATTAACTGCTTCATACATGCCAGCCTATAAAAATAATGTTTATAAGACATTGCTTTCTTTTATATCAGTAAGAAAAACAATTATAATTTATAAATTCTTAATGTTTTTATTAAGACAATACACTGAAGCTTATCCAATAGGACATTAAAAATAAATGTTGCTAATTTTTAGCTGTATTAAGGCTTAATAAAAGAATTTTACACAATGTATCATCTCCTCTGGCTATACATATATGTAGCAGACATGCGTATGTGCGCATATATTAATATATATGCATGTACCTATATGCATATCTATATTTCTATAAAATTTAAATTGCATCTTTTGCTTCTACCTACACCATAATTACTAAGGTAAATGTGTGTATATGTATGTATACTTACTTAATCATATACAAACTTGTGCAAAAACTAATTCTAAGCAGAGGAACAAAAGAAATTCAATTATACAGATCAGATACCCAATTCACCTATAATCAGATAATGTATGGCCTCTTGTGAAACTAAAATCATTGACTTTTCTAAAATATTAAGTTGGTACATGCATTCTCTTATTAGAAATCTACTATTGAAAAATCTTCAAATACTTTTATCTTTTACAAAATATGAGAAGATTTGAGCTACCACATTTTCTTCCACTGGGGACCAGTTGGCCAGTGGTTTGGCCACTGGTTGCCTTGGTTACAATCAGAGTGTTTGTAGTGCTGATTCATCCCTCATCCTCAGTAATGCATTGGCACTGTAGTGAGAGGAAAAAGATGTTTTCCAAAAGCTACTGAGTTTTCACTGTTTCACAAATCAGCAAAGGTATTTTCTGAAGGAAATAAACATATGGTCCTCATTTCCTAGTCAGTTCACAGGAGTATCTTCAAGCAATAATATAGCTGTAATACCTGAAATATATTTAGAGTAACTAAAATGGCCCAGTAATTATTTTAATTAAAACCAGATTAATTGAAAAGTAAAATTCATAATTATATGTGATTATGTAGACATATTTTTATGTATTATTTTTCATACAGTTACATATGACAAAAGTGAAATTATGTACAGGCAAAAGAATTTCTGTAATATAGGCTATTGTCCCTTCAATCTAAATGCACCACTGTGAATTATTAAAATTATACACAAATACACAACTATGTTTATATTCTATTATGGCAAAAAAGTCTTTTCCTTCCATGAGTTCAACCCAGTGTAGAGGAGGAACTGGGGTGGCTAAGGGTCTTAGAGACAAGACATTTTTAAGAGGACTTAATATTTTTAAATCTGGGAAAAATACTTATAGAGTCTCATAATCAGTAAGTTTAAATGAGTTAATTCTAAGTGCCTACAATGACGAAGATGCGGATAACAGCAAACACGCTAGTACTTTCTTGAAGATAGGCAATGATAAGCACTTTGCATATATTAACTCGTTTAATCCTAACAGCAATCACAAGAGGTAGGTATTATTATTAGACATATTTAACAGGTAAGGAAACTGAGACACCAATAGATTAATTTGTACCTTAAGTAATGTAACTATTAAATGGCAGGGACAGGATTTAAAGTTTGACAATATGCCTTCTACATCGAGGCACTTAGCCAACAAAACGCAGGATAGTGACATGGCCTGGAGAAGAAACCAATTCCCAGTGGGGAAGAAAGCAGCACTGCCTTTTACCTCAAGCTTTCCCCTTACTTTCATAAACCTCAGTGTCTCCTAAATAAGACACTAAGCAGAAAAGTCTAAGAAAGCTGTTACCCTATCAACACAGTTCAAGAAGACCAGCAGGGATTTGAAATGCTTTCTTTTCTTTTTGGTGGGAATGGGGTTTTGAAATCAGTGCTTCACACTTGCAAAGCAGGTGCTCTACTGCTTGAGCCACACCTCCAGCTCATTTTGGTCTGGTTATTTTGGAGATGGAGTATCTTGAACTTTGCCCCACTGGCCCAAAATAGCAATCCTCTTGATCTCAGTTTCCCAAGTAGCTAGGATTATAGTTGTAAGCCAATAGAGCCTGGCAGGCTATTTTTTCCTTCTCCACAAAACACCCCACCCGGATTCTACTTGACTGGCTCAACTTTTCACTTATGGATAGGACGGAATAAAAATGGGTGTTATACAATGGTAGGGTCGTCAGGCAAGGGATTCAGCATGAGTTCATAAAGCTCCTGACAGGTAAAATCCAGGCTCCAATATCTACCTACCAAGGCTCACTACACAATGGGGTGGATGTCCATACTTTCCTGGGCACCAGGACAATGCACAACCTACTAGAAAGAAAAGTCTCCATCTCTTCAAGGAGACAAGCAAGCTCTATTTACAGAGCCATATCAGCTTATCCACAGAGAACTTAAATTGTCCAGAAAAGCTTTTGTTTTATTCTTATCTTAATTTAAAGGTTCCAGAAAATATTTTGTGGTGAAAATTTTATGAACAACAATAACAAAAATTTATTGTAGACTATGTGCTGGTTCTTAAACAAGCAAATGAATAACACTGAGAAAAGTGGCAGATTATTAAGAAAAAAAGGAAAAAGCAATGATGACTCTAGATAGCTCTAAAAGTGCTTGGTGAAAACTACCTAAAGAAAAAGCAGGGGCACAAGGCAAAGAACATAAATATGCATGTCAACTTATAATCCTGAGGTATGAAACTGTGGGAAGAGAATGAATGAGAATCATCTACCATGGAGAAAGAAGCAGCTGCTTGTTCCAACAATCCCACAAGTCCTGATTCAGTAAAGTACTTTCCAGAGCAGATACCTTCTTCATCTGGAGATACCACATCATCTGAGACTGCAGATTCTTCTAAAACATTAGATGAAATATTCTAGGGAAGAAAATTGAAAAAGTTTATGAGGTAGAATTCATTTCTAACATGAAATAAATGCACATGAAGAAGTAACGGAAGCCCAAACATTTTCAAAGATGCAAAATCCATAACTGATTATACAGTAGTAAAGGTATTGAGAAAAAATATACATAGGATTGATAATTCAGAGGTAAGGAACTATGGAAAGAGAATTAACATGAAGTACCCTTTAAAAATGCACTGATGGATGGATGGGCTTAGGGTATAGTGGTAGAGTGCTTGCCTAGCAACTGCAAGGCCCAAGCATAAATCACCAACAGAGAAAAAAAAGATAATGAAAGTGTAATTAGTATTTATTCAACTTACAAAACATTGACTTAAGTCTTTATGTTTTCTTTAAAAAAAAACCTGAAGGACTCTACATACCAGTGAGCAAAAGTTAGAACCAGAAAAGGACATTCATGATTTGTATGTGTTACCTGGCAGATTCCTACCTGAAATGTTACACATCCCACAGGAAGATATTTTCGGTCCTCCAGCATGCTCAAATATTCAGCAACAAGTGCTGCTGAGTGGACTAGGCACTGAGCAGCTTCGGCATGATTGCTTCTTTCTGAGTGTTTGCCAGCCATGTTCTGCAACCAGGTCAATCGCAGATCTGGAGAGGTCTGATAACCCTTGGCAATTCTAATTAAAACCAGAAATGTTTCAATTAGCATAGGCTTCCCTACGCTGGGAGGGAATTTAGATGGTTTGTTCAGAGCTTTACCTAGATAAGTTTCTCATACTGCACAGAATGTATTATAACAAGTTTTTAAGTGGTATGAACATGTCATCATGTATGCTTACAGAAATAACCGTGGCATGAAATGTGTAATTATCAATTTGGGTTGGGGCAAAAAGACACATGTTATATTAAAATCTGGCAACTAAGGAAACAGTCAGTAAGGGAAAAGTCTGGGAACTTACATGTACTCTATGGGAACACAAAGAAGTTTTATATTTAAGGAAAAAAAAGAAAACATATAAAAGGTAGTTTCATCATATCAACCTTCCTGTTAAAGAGAGTAAAACTGTTTCATTCATATCCTTTTCTTCTTTCAAACTGGAGTTTGAACTCATGGTTTCACAGTTGTTAGGCAGGTGCTCTATTACATGAGCCACTCCTCCAGTCTTTCTTTTGGTGTTGGGTATTTTCTTTCTTTTTTTGGGTCTGTGGGTGGGTAGAACTGGGGCTTGAACTCAGGGCTTATACCTTGAGCTGTTCTACCACTCCTTTCTCTGTGATTTCTTTTTTTTTTTTTTGAGATAGGGCTGGTGAACTATTTGCCCGAGCTGGTTTGAACCTGATCCTCCTGATCTCTGCCTTCTGAGTAGACAGGATTATAGAAGTGAGCCACCAGCACCTGGCTCATTCAAAACTATGAAAATAGAGGGTCTGGCCACAGTGAAAAAAATTTTGACGTTTAGCTGTTGTATCTATCACAATTCAACTGTTGAAATCAGGATAATTAATGCTATGGCAAACATTCATTTACTGCATTTTTTCTTAAGTGAGAGGTTTTTTACATTTAAAACACAGGCTCAGGGCATCCCTAAGAATTTCAGGGCCCAGGACACTAGTGTGCTAAATATGCACTATGATTATTTTAAATCTCTTATTTTTGATCGACATAGCACACACTTGCCCTTTTTCTTTGAATCTCAGCACCACAGAAGAAAATGTATGCATGAGTAAATATATACACTGAATAGTCATGTATAATTCTCCTAAGTAACACAGAGGATATGAAAGAGGTGTCTAAAAAAAAAGGACATTTTGACTTTTCAATGTACCATTAAAAAATCACTTAATTTGTATATGTCTTTTTTCACTTAATGTTGTTCATGTGTTGAAACCCACTATACAAAATGCAAGTGAATCAAACAAATGTTACCTGTACATTAGATCAATCAACATTTCAGGATCCTCCTGGTGTTCCTTCATTTTAACAGTATCAGAAAGGATCATATGGAGATTGAAAACCAGATCTTGGACCTACAGCAGACAATTATATGAATAATTTATTCATAATAACTAAATTAGTATTTCCTATGAGCATCTAAAGATTTCAAAATAATTACACAACTGTTCTATTTAGTATAAATACACAGAATTAAATACCAAAAATATAAACCATTAAAAAAAGGTTAGTTTAGTGAAACAAAAAGATTCTACCTTCTCTGTGGCACATGATATGTAGATTTAAAGAAATAAAAGATTACTCAGCAAAAAACAATATTTGATTTAACACTCTGGAAAGTGCCTATTTAACAAGCCTATTTCAATTAACAATTTAAAAGGTGGCATTTCTGACCTGATCAGGAAACGTTGTTTCCCTCAATTCCAGATCTTCTTCAGCATATGTCAATATAGTCTTGAGAGAACGTCTTAAAAATTCTTCATTAAAATTCTGAGATGTGCCCACCAAGGAGGACAGTGACATTGTTACCTGCATTTTAACCCTGGCAAAGTTCTATAACAGAGAAATTGTCAGGTCAGTATTTAATATAGGAAAGCTTAAAGGAAAAAGTTCTTTTTATTTCTCTCTAAAAGAACACTCTGAACTCTGTATCAGAGTGCTTGCATCACATGACTGACAACACAAAATTTCTTTTTTGTGGTGCTTGGGTTCACACCCAAGGCTTTGTATACGCTAACTATGTGCTCTATCACCAAGCTACATTCTATCTCTTACATCACAAATTCCTAAGTTACAGATAAAGTGTTTATAATTTATATTCTTCCCTTAAGTGTCTCAAATACCCTTGTTCTCAAATTCCTGTCAAAAATCTCTTCATATTTAACGTGCTCTAAATAGCCTCAATGATGTGTTTGCCTTTGACTAACGTATCTTTTTGTCTTCAGTTCCTCTTTCTCTGTAGAGCTTGAGACTTTGATATTTTACTGGATAGCACCATTTGGATGTTTCATGAGTACCTCATAGTCAGTATGTCTAATGTATTTTCTCTTTCTGTTGATTATCCAAATAAATTGTGCTATTATTCTTGTTATCATTCAAACCAAAAAACCTAGGGGTTATCCCATATTCATTCTTCCCTCTCATTATTTATACCATAAATCCAGTAACATTCCATAATCTGTTCCAACCTGTTCTTTCTCCACTCTTAATACCACTACTTTAGTTAACACTCTTACTCTTTCTTTCCTGGATTGCTGTAATAACTTCCTAATCAATCTCCCTGGCTTTTTCTCTTATCCCTCAAGTCCATATTCTATGACACACTATGGATAATTTTTACAAAAATGCACATCAGTAAACACATCATCTTCCCCTTAAAAATAATCCACTGGCTTCCCATAGTGTAAGATATAAATTCAAATATTGAACCTAAAAATATTTCTATATAGTGGGAACTGGTAACACAGTGCTAAACAAAATAAGCATCAGTGCCAGTTTTTTTTAGAGGAACACAAAGATGATAAATTGCCTTTTTTCCTCAATAGGGAAAAACAGCTTTTCTATTTTATTTTTTTTGGTGGTACTAGGGTTTGAACTCAGGGCCTCATGTTTGCTAAGCAGGAGCTCTACCAACTGAGCCACTCTGCCAACCCTGTTTTGTGTTGGGTATTTTCGAGATAGGGTCTTGGGAACTATTTGCCTGGGCTGGCTTTTAAACTTGGTCCTCCTGATCTCTGCCTCCAGAGTAGGTAGGATTACAGGTGTGAGCCGCCAGTGTCCAGATTAGATTTCTTTAAGTAACAGAAAAAGGGTGGGGATTAGCTCAGTGTTAGAGCACTTGCCTACCATATGGAAGGCCCTAGGTTCTATCTATTATACCAAAGAAGAAAAACATTTAAAAAAAAGAAAAGAAAAGAAAAAAATCTAGAGAACTGTATACATGGTCAAATTTAGGGACTTTATTTCAAAAAATAAATGAGATCAGTAAACTAGACTCTTTTTGTTCTAGATTATGAGAGACGTCTTGGCATCCAGAGAAAATAAAGCAACATGAGGTAACAAATGTCATACTTCTGGGTATGACGCAAAAACAAAAGATGAAAAAACACCATAAACACTATCTTTATCAAAATGAAGAGACACATAGAATCCACATAATTAGAAAAATGTTTAAAGGTTGCCAAAACAAGCTAAAATAGGAAGCAATTCCAACATAAAACAAGGAAGGAAAAACAGTCAGATATCATAGGGCACAGATTTCAGAACTATGGGAAAAAAACTTTTTTTAAAATAAGAAAGTAACTTCAAATGATAAAACTGAGTTGTCCTGGAAACAAAATAAGCTAAAAATCTGGTAGGAATGGACAGAGATGGACCAACCAGAAAGTTCAGGAAGTTAAGCAAAATGTACATACAATAGTAAAATCCTAGCAAAGACCCATTCTTAAAGGAAATTTCTATAAAGCTCAGCCAAGAATACAGTTAAGAGTTCATTAGTGACAGGGACGTCACGAATGTGTCCTTAGGTGATGTTGCCATTGTGTGGACATCTTTGAATATATGTATACAAATCAAGAAGGATATGATGTCACTAGGCAATATAATCTAATAGAACCACCAAAATGTCATAAAACATGAAAATTCTAGTGCAATATTCTGCCCTAAATTTAAAAAAATTATGAAGACGTTACCTTTAGGAAGGAAAACAAGGAAGAAATATAAGAACTTAAGGAGAAAGGGTAAGAGTTAGAAACCAATGAAGTAAAATAGGAGATTGTGAGCTGGCACAGAAATGAAGATGAAATTTTTAAAAAGCTAAAAAGGATAAAAGAAAATAACATAACAGGTAAAGAATAAGTTTAAAAAAAAAAGGAAAGAAACCCAACAACATTTGAATAATTGGTAACAAACAGGAAAACATCAAATAGAACAAAATAAATATTTGATTTCATACTCAAGAAAACACTGTGAAATAAATGAATTAAAAGTACTTATTATATGCCTGAGAAAATTAACAAAAATCAGTCAATATCAAGACATGGCCTAGAAATGTCATTTAATTTCAAATATAAAGAAAGAATCACTTGAGCCACTAGGGAAAAAAAAAAATCAAGTACCTTTTTTTCTTCTGTTAAGTGTTCTTTAATAAGTTATACTAATCTTTCTCACGCTTTTTATTATTCAAAATGTGAGGCAAAAATTTCATAGCCACCCTTGAATGAGAGGCTGTTGAGTAGTGTTGAACTTTGGAGGCCACAAACCATGGTAATGGGTTTCCCGCCTCCACCCCCCCACCCCTGCCCGAAGAACCTGTTACTCCCTTGGTGGTAGTAATGTTTCCCATTGAGAATGCAAGGTTTAAGAAAATAGAAGATTAGCATTACTACATAATTATAAAGGTAGCCATTACAGCAAAAATATAAACTGTGCCAGATGTGATAAACCCTATACCCCAAAATTATAGTGAACTGCTCATATAATCTAAGATGAAAATAACACAATTCTTTTAAAGAGAGAGGGGAAGAAAAGGACATAATAAAGTAACAAAATAGTATTACAAGGTATACCTAATTTAATCACACAAAAAATGTTTAATTCAAATTAGGAATGGGATCATAAGGAAAAACTCAGCTCTGTTGTATTTGAGAGGCACATCTAAAACAGAGTACATGCCTGGTACGGAGGTTCACATCTGTAATCCTAGCTACTAAGTAGGCAGAGCTCAGGAAGGACTGAGGTTTGAGACCAGCCCAGCAAATAGTTTGAGAGACCTTATCTCAAAAATACCCAACACAAAAAAGTCTGGCTGAGTGGCCAAGTGGTAGAGTACTGCCTAGCAAGTGTGCAGTCCTGAGTTCAAACTCCAGTACTGAGAAAAAATTAAAAAAGAGTACAAATGAAATATCAGGGAAAGATAATTAAGCTGATTCAAATTAGAAGGAAAGCAAAGATCGAGATCTTAATTCTGGCTGGTGGAGTGGCTCAAGAAATAGGAACACTTAGCAAGTGTGAGGCCCTGAGTTCAAACCCTAGTACTGCCCAAGACAACGTAACACCATACAAGGTAGAATTTGGGCCTCCCTCACCCAAAATAAATGATACACATTTTAGATGTAACCAAAATGTTCTTTTCAATTCTAAAGGGGACTAATTCAAAAGAGGACATAATAGATATGAATATTAATATTTAAATAAGAGGTAAAGGAGAAAAAGACAAACACATGAATAGGTTTTAATTAACCTCCATCAGTCTACCAACTGGACCAAAAATAAGAAGAATATTGAAAAACAATAATGAAATTAATAAGGTATATCTGTTTGTTTTATGTTTAACTCAATATTCTAAAAATAGAAATGACCTTTTTAAGTGCTCATGGCAAATTCATAAAAATTGAATGTATGTTTGGGAACATAAATATAACACATCCACAATACATAA